GTTCGCAGAGGACGCGTTCTTAACGCTGACCCGAGTGTTCGTGCTGGGAATTAGGAAGTAGGTGCTCCTGCGCGTGGAGCTAGGAGAGAAAGGCGAGGTGCCAAGATGATTCCGTCAGCTATTTCCTTCAGCTGACTAATGCAACGCTATTGAACCACTGAGGGCTGGAAAACCCGTAACAGCTTATTTCTGTTGCTCCAAGCTGGATGTTTGTAGAAAGACAAGCTTTCCTTCACTACTTGATTATCCAGAGGTCCAGTTTGTATGCAAAAGGCAGGGCTAATAATTCTTGCTGTTGTTTCAAAAGAATGAGAAGTTCACTTCTGTCCTTCAAAGAAAAAATTTAATATTATCAAATCATAAATTTAAACATATCCACAGTGCTTCAACTAATTACTATTTGTTATTGTCTTTATTGATTCTCAAATCTTGCCTTGGTCAGCGGAAGGCTCTTGGGTGGTTCCTGGGTGCCCTCCCTGTCCCCCCGCTTCCCACTGCAAATCTCAGCATGTTTCTAATGTAGACATAAGAGCACAGCAAAGCAGCTGACGGCTGAGATGCCTGAGAGCGTTTTATTGGGTCGCCAGATGGTCACAAATTCCTTGCAAATGAAAAACTGAGATCAGGCTGGGGAGACAGCTCTGCAGTCTATGCACCTGCCTGGCAAGCACAAGGACCCGAGTTCAATTCCTGGAACCGCATGCCTTGCAGGCCCCGGAATCCCAGGGGTGCGGTGCGGGCCACCAAACTGGGGCGTGGTGGCGTAATTCCAGTGCTGGGGAGGCTGAAACAGGAGGATCATTACGAGTCGGAGCTGCATAGTGATAGCCTGTGCTAAATAAATAAATACATAAACAAGAGAAAAACTGAGATCAACCCAAACACATCCTTAAAAGGTATATGAAGCAAATCTACAACTTCAATTTACAGACTTCAGTGTGAAAATTTAATATTACTGTAATTTTAAGTATATATCTTTTGTATGAATAATGAAAGATATTAATACTTAATATAAAATATTGCTATGAATTTGAGCATTTGTTATTTTTAAAAATTTTTTGTTTTTTTGAGACAAGGTCTCACTATGCAGTTCAGACTGGTCTTGAACTCACTGTGTAGCCCAGGATGGCCTCAAACTTGCAGTGATCCTCCTGCCTCAGCCTTCTGAGTGTGATTACAGGTGTGTACCACCACGCCCAGCCCTGCATTTTTGATTACAGAAATATTTTCTAACCTTCCTTGGGTGGGAAATCATTTAATTCTTCTGGGCTTCAATTTAATCAGTGGTAAAAATGAGTCAGTTAGATTTTTCTACAATTTCTTCTACCCTTCAGAATATTACTATTCTAAGTCTTAGAACTTATTTCAAAATAAGATTTGCAGCATTAACTGTGGAACAAAGCGTTTAATTCTAAAGTGTCTTAATAGAATTGTATCAATATGAACATAAATATACACAGATGCCTAGTAAATAACTTGTAGATGTCATAAAACAAATTTTGTAAATGTATTTATTTGTAAAGCTGCCTTTAGAAAATGACGTTGGTTCGGGAAGACAGGAAATGAAGTCCCAATAAAATTTTTATACTTCACGTTCCAAAGGAAGGTAAACGTCTTGTTTCAGATATTTACCCCAAGTCTGGGTAGTGGGTGTGAGCCTTTCCTTTCCAGCCCCGCCACCAACAGGCAAGGTCACAGCTGATGCTTGACGCTTACTGGCATTGCTGCGACCGCTCTGAAGACACCGGGCTGAATTCTGAGCCTCGTTTCTCGGGAGCCTCAGAGACCCAGCTTGTCGCGATGGGACCTGACTGGAAGCACAAGCACGCTGCCGACCTCGGTGCGCCCTGTGCACACAAAGCCCCTTTGGGGTCTGGAGCAGGAAGGGCCGGCAGTCAGGTTCCAACTGCAACAGGCCAGAAAGCTGCGGGCTTCAGCACTGCTTAGCCTGGGCTCACTCCTGGAAGATTTTTAATGGAAACGTTCTGGATATCATGACAAGGCTTACCATGCAACCTAGCCAAAAAGGAAACTGTACACTGTAAGGCCAGGCCAGGCCAGCTTGAGGGTCAGAAAGCAGCTGCACACCGATCCCGACACCGGCCCCGCTATGGACACCGCTATACATCCTGGAATCGCACCCCAGGCCGCCGGCACCTGCTCAGCAGCCCACGTGGACAGGCCCTGGCGCTGTGCAGCTTGGGGGCCGCTGCCTGATTCTCCACCAGAGTCCTTCCCAAGGCCACATTCCCCCTGGTGGGGCGGGCTGTCTGGGATGGCCCAGGACCCAGGCTGGGGACACCTTGGGAAGAACCGCCGATCTCCAAGGGCTGCTGCTCCTGCAGTAAGCCCCCTGGTCCATAGTGCCCCTCAGGCGGGGTTTCTCTTTCCTCCTGTTCTTCAGTTCCCAGCTCTTTCCTGGGTTGTTTCACAGACTGGTCGGTTGGCAGCTGGTGGCCAACCTACAACACGCAGCTGACCTGAGCCAGCCTAGTGCCGGATGTGTGGGCCACCTGAGGACCGTTGCTGGCAGCGTACGGGAGAACTGGAGAGGAAGTCTGGAGCTGCGGGGCTCCTGGTTTTCCTGGCACTGCTGTTGGTTCTCTTGGAGGACCTCGTCACGCCGGCTCTCCTGATGAACTTTGCTGTTCTCGTTGTCGAAGGAGCTTAGGACCTCGCTGCCGCCGAGAATGGCTGCGGTTCACTTTGTGGGAGCTCTGGTCCTTACTTTGAGCATTGCTTCCTGGCTCTGGAGGGGAAGATGGTGCACAGCTCAGTCCTCTGAAGAAGCTTGTCACCTTGGCTTTCTTGGTGGGAACTCAGCTGTCATTGTTGGAGCAGCTCAGGACCCCACTGTCGTGAGGGTGGCGCGGTGCCTTCCCAAGGTGCTCTGCTTCTTGCCTTGAGCGTTGCTTCCTGGCTCCAGGGCAGATTCCTCAGCCTGCAGCTGGTACAGAGCCTTCACCCCGCTGGCACAGCTTCCTAGCGTCCATCACTGGTCTCTGGGCCTTCCCTGCACAGATCTGTGAAGCAGGCCTGCATGGGACATAGTTGTGGGCTCTAGGCCTCCAGTCGGACTTGTGGGAGACGTTGTTATGGGCTCCAGGTCTTCAGCTGGCTTCCCACGGGACACCGCCGTGGGATCCAGGCCATCAGCTGGGTCCTTGCTCTTTAGTGTGTGCACCCATTCCCCGCACTCTGTGTATGACCCTGGGTGACTAGAGTAAAATCATCTTGTAATCAGGGTCCCGTTTTGTACAGTTTCCTCCTGTAACACCTCAAACTACAGCACAGATCAACACTGGCACCCTGCAGCTTCCCTCAAGGAGAAACCCACAGAATAAAGAGCCAAGAATGGAGTCAGCTTTCTCAAGTGGGGAGGGGTCTAAGACAATGGCAGTGAGGAGGAAGGGGGGGGGACAAAAGACAAGCCGTGTTGAGTACAAGGATGCAGTCATAAGATGAGCGCTAAGATTGTGGACTGCAAACCGGCATTAATAGAAAACGAAAAGCTAGGGCCGGGGAGATAGCTCAGTAGAATAAGCACTTGCCTGGCAAGCGCAGAGTCCTGAGCTCAATCCCCAGGCCTACAAAAAAAAAAAAAAAAAAAAAAAAAGTGGTGGCAATGTTTCCAGGATTGCTGCAGGCTGCGGCTCCTGCTCTCCATGCCGCCCGTGGGACCTGTGGTCCTGATGTCCACACACCCTGGGTCGGTGGTCCGAGCCGGGTGTCCTGCGGACAGGGATGGAAAGTGAGCCTGTGCCCCACAAGAGGCACACAGCGCGAGGCCAGCAGGCCCAGGCCCTGCAGACTGTGGGAACCAGCGGTCAGGAGGAGGCTGGGATCGCGCCTCACGTTCAGGTTACCGGGCTGGCGGCACACGGGGACTTCTTGGTCCACTCGGTACCTGCAGGAACACTGCTGGGGCCGTTAGGCAGCGCCGAGGGATCGGCCGCAGCAGGACCTGCCTTTCTCTCCAGACGACAAGCCTTTCTGAAAGGCCAGCGGTGGACATGACCACTGCAGTCGGAAAGCGTGTGCACGGTGTGCGATCTCACATCACAGCGTGTGTGTGTGTGTGTGTGTGTACGTGCTCTGGGAGGTTGCAGTGGAACACACAAGCTGGGCATAGAGAGAAGGGTCTCTGAGTGAGCAGGAAGGCGAGGTCCAGCTGGCTGCCACACTCCAAACTTCTTGTCTCTTGAGATGTTTTTTTTTTTTTTTAATGTGGTCTCACTGTGTCGCCCACGCTGGCCTGAAACTCACGACAATCCTTCCCGCCTCTGCCTGAGTGCTCTGGTAATGGCAGAGGGGCTGGGGGCGGGGCTGCTCCAGGCTGGAAGGAGGCACGAGGGGTGGGGCCACAAGACAGCCCCGCCCACCTGACCAGGCCCCGCCCCCGCCTCAACCCAGAGGGCCAGGCCCGCAGGACCCTATCACCCCACAGGCCCTGCCTGTGAGCCGTTGGGGGCCACGTCCCGGTAGAAACTACAACACGCACCATTAATCAAGTACTTTATTCTCGTCCCACCTAGTACTTGTAGGATTTCTGAACTGAGTATTTACAAGAAGTACGCGCAGGGCTGGGTGCGCGCTGCAACCTGCCGTCCTTGCCAAGGCAACGCAGGGGTCGACAGCCTCACTCACCTTCCACTACACCAAGAACACCTTCAACATTTCTACTTGACAGTAAACGCGACAGGTATCAGGCTCTGATGATACCTGAAGCACTGGGCACGTGGCGAAGAGCTGTATTGGCTAATAAATACTTCCAGTAAGTCCCATATCCAAAATAGATAACGCCTTTTCAAGCTGTCACAGAAAAGTGCCACCCAGTATTACGTCCTGCCAGAAACTTAAGTTCTTCGTAGAAATGCACGTAACCCCAGGTGTGGTGGCGCACACCTGTCACCCCTGCACTCGGGAGGCTGAGGCAGGAGGATCACCATCATTTGAGGTCAGCCTGGGCTACACAGTGAATTCAAGGATAGCATGGACTACGTATGTTAAAAAAAAGAAAAAAGAAAGAAAAAGTGCACAGCATTTTTCATGCTAAAGCATTTAAAATTTGTACAAAATGCGTTAATTTCTGCACCACCTGAGCTCACATCCTTCCTCCTGGAGGCGACCCGGCCCCGGCACACCTCCTCCGAGCACTGAAGCACGCACTGCAGTTTAGGTCACTGTGTCTCGCTGCAGAGCCCTTTATTTTGGTAGCAAGGCGTGCTGCTGGCAGGCTAGAACGGCTTTCTTTTCAACCCAGACACTAGGCGGCGGGTGCCGCAGGATGCAGCTGGGGGCCAGCGCCTGGCGTCTGTGGCTGCTGGGCTGGCTCAGTCACTGAAGGAAGACTCGCTGTCCGAGCTGCCGCCCATGCTCTTCTCCACGGCAGCATCAGGCACAGGAGCACCAGGCCGCCTGAAAGAGAAGAAAGCAGCTGAGGGTGTTCCCAGTGGGGGAAAAGCACTCAGCAAGGACAATCACGTCATCAGAGTAGTGAGATGGCAGGACATCAGCTGCCTGTGTCCTCTGAGTTCCTGCGAGACTTTCGCGACACATGGGCCTCAGGACACCTTGCAGGCCCAGCACCAGGCCAGGCTGGGCCAGGCCAGCACAACCAGCTCAGAGCTGCCCCTTCTGCCCAGTGCCGAGAAAGGCGAGCAGGATGTGGAAGAAGAGGACCACAGCAGGGAGAAACTTCAGAGTTCAGGAACACCTGCTGTGAAACAGGCAGCTCTGGCTACGGCGGTGCACGCGTCATCCCAGCACTCCAGGAGGCTGAGGCAGGACGGCCGAGGGAGCCTCAGGCCAGCCAGGGCTAAACAATGGGTTTGAGATCAGCTGAATGACACAGCAAGACTTTCTCAAAAAACCTAAATACATACAGGCGTATGTACGTACAGACAGAGAAAACTGGCTGTATGGAAATTAAGCAGGAGAGAAAAGTATCTGGTCAGAGAAGGCTCTTAACATTTGTGGAATGTTCTCACTTTGAAGTTTTATCTCTAGAGGATGAACAGGAAAGGTCTGAGTTGATACAAGTATTATCTAATGATTGCCCAGGCACAGTGAGGAGGCATGGTGATACGGAAGCCCCAGCTTGCAGGGCATGCTGCAGCACACAGGAAGAAGGCTGAGGCCCCAACGCATGGCAAGTGTGAGGCCCTGAGTTCGATTCCCGCTACTACCCCCCACCCCCAACAAAAGATTTAAAGAGAATGAAGTGTGAGCAGTGTTATTCAAGCTGTTGCTTACAGGCCTGAGTGCTGTCTCAGTAAATCACTGAATCCACACAGCGGCATTTTCTTCACCCTTCACTTACTGAGAAAGTAAATCAGGCAAGCAAAGTATACTTTGGGGGAAACACAAGACAAATGGAAGAATAACATAGCTGCTGGGTCCTAATAATTAAAAACTACTACGCTTAATTTCAGGCTCTGGATTCTCATTAAAGATATATATATATATATATTTAATTAAAAAAAATTTTTTTTGAGGTAGGGTCTCACTGTGGTTCAGGCTGGTCCTGCACTCACTAGCCCAGATTGGTCTCAAATTCACAGTGATCCTCCTGCCTTAGCCCTCAGCCTTCTGAGTGCTGGGATTACAGGCATAAAAACACCATATCTAGTCCTTATTAAAGATTTAGGACACACTAAACAGAATTGTTAAAGAAAACATGGTCTACTAGTTATTTTTAGTTATTAAAAAATGGCTTTTGTATTTTAATCTATTTGGTATGTTACTAACCACGGCAAAACAGTGACTGGCTGTCTCTGGGTCTGCTAAGGTGGCCATTTCACCCGAGGGACCCTGCAGGTGGCTGTCACCTGGAGTCCAGCCTGGCCCCTGCAAGCAGTGCCCCAGCAGGCTGGTCCTGTGCTCTCAGGGTGCCTGTGTCACCTGGTGGTGACAGAGCCAGGCTGCTGGGCCAGTGTCACTGAAGGGCCTGAGCTGCTCACCCTCTTCTGCTATTAAAATTTGGCCTAGCCAGAACATTTGTGTGCAGGTTTCCACAGAAATGCATTTCCCAGGCTCCCCTGTGAGCAGGGTTTCTCCCCGACCACACTGTTTCATGTGCACGGCCTCACCTACTGTCTCCTTTTGCTCTTCCTGCTAAAATACAGATGCCAGCACATTAGGCAGCTTTACTATCTTTTCTTGTGTGCATGCCTACCTGTGCATGTGCTAGGGCTGAAGCCAGGCTGGGAACACCTTCCCGCTGAGCTACAGCCCTGCTTGCTGCCCTCCCAGTCTATGGCACTCAGGGCGGTGTGCAGAGGGCCCTCAGCAGCCTTAGGCCGACGGTGTACATCACCACCATCCACCCAGCTGCGAGACGAGACCCCCTTAAATAATGTTCCCTGCTCTCAGTGGCCAGCAGCCACTGTGCCCTCCACGGTCTGCGGATGCTGAAGGAGAAAAGTGCAACCTCGGCCCACTTCTCCCTTGGTGTCTGGCTCATTTCACCATATTGGGCCCTAAAGGGCCACTATGTTGTAGCATGGCAAAATCTCCCTCCTTTTTTACAGCTACATACTATTCCTTTGTTTCTTTTCACCAGCTTATTGGGCCCATCTTTGGACAACAGACACGTGGTGTGCTTCTACACCTTGGCTACTGTAAACAGTGCCGTTCCGAGCACGGGTGCACACAGCACGCTGAGGTCTGGCTCGTGGCCCCTTAGGATACACCTAAGGAGACCTGGAATTGCTCGGTGACATAATAATCCTGCTTTTCACTTTTGAGAAGCAGTGGCGCTGTTTTCCACAGCAGAGGCATCACTGACACTCCTGTCCGCAGTGACCAGGGTGCAGCTCCAACCCTGGCTATGTCCATCCTCCTCGTTTTCAACTAAGCTGAATGCTGTGTTGGACCGAATGACACGAGAACAAAGACAGGCTCCAGCTCTCTTGGGTATGGAATGAGGAAAGCCTCAGGAGGCCACAGAACCAAGCGGGGTACCCTGGGAAGCACCTCACAAGTGAAGGCACCTCACACAAACGCTAAGGGCAGTGACAACACTGCCAGGACGGCCACCATTCCCGGGCTGGTAGGCCCTTCTAGCGCAGGTCTCCCTCTAGGAACAGAAGCACTCTCACTGCGTCTACCCCATCCGCACGTGAGTCTTTCATTTGAACTTGCTATTTGTGGGAGTTTTAAAAGATTTGAAAAGATTGCATTCTTTTCTGCTACTAGCCTGCAGCTTGGCTTCACTGAATCAGAAGGAAGCCAGCTCCTCTGTAAAGCCCGAATGAGGCTCTACAACAGTACAGTACCTTAGTACTTTAAATATATACATGAATTTCTAAAATGGCATCTCAGGAAAACACACTGATGTATAAAATTGTAAGTATATTCACAATCTTTCATGTATAATTAATAAAACTCAATCCTTAGTAATTAAAATAAAAATACTAGCTTGTTAACTACGTTTTATTAATAAAATTCTTATAAGCAATTTTTTTAAGAGTTTAAATTTAACCTCGGGGGCTGGTGAGATGGCTCAGTGGTCTAAAGCGCCTACTTAGAACAAGCTTAGCAAAGCACAGAGACCATAGTTCAAACCCCCAGCACCACATGCCAGCCAGCCCCGCCCCCTGGTGGGCTGAGCTAGACACACACACACACACACACACACACACACACACACACAAATAAAATTAAAAAAAAAAAAATTTAACCTCGGGCTGGGGAAATTGGTCAGTAAATAAGTGCTTGCCTGGCAAGTGCAAGGGCCTGAGTTCAATCCCTGATTTGGGAAAAAAAAAGCTCATTACTTAGTCTAAACTACCTTTAAAAAGCAGAATGTTTTAAAGAAGCTACTAGGTTGACCTCAACCAAAAATGAGTAAAAATGCAGAAGAGTAGAAGGATAAAATACACAAATCAGTTCTTTTAGCATATGTACTAACAGCCCATGCTAATGGGAATCAAGGCAGGGGCCAACCATGTCCCCCTGGGCCGACATCCTCTTCCCTTCCTACTCCCTAGTCTGGGACACAGGACCTAAGCCTGGCCAATCATAAGCAGCCCCCTGAAAGTAAGGCAGGGACTCAAGAGAGCGCCCCAGAGGCAAACAGGGCCAGTCAGAATATCCCTCAGGAAGTGGGCTCTCTTCTTTTACTGGCAAAAACTGAACATTCAAGCCTTGCTCGGCGCTTCATTCCCTGGCTACAGAGAGGAAGATTGTCGGCAGGAGGACAGATGTGGGCTACTATCTCGGGAAGGCAGCATGGAAAGAGCAGGGGAGGAGGTAGCGGGCAGCCAGGTCCCAGACAGGAGGCCCGAGACCACTCAGGCCACTTCCACTGGAGCTCCTCGCCACGCACGTCCCTTACAAAGCTCTTTTAGCGGGCTTCTGCAACCCTGAACATGCAGAGGGCTCTGAAACACAAACACACCCATTTTCTTTGCATTAAGAGATTAACTTTTTTCCCACTATTTTCTTTTTGATTCCAGGAATCGAACTCAGGGCCTCACAGTTGCCAGGCAGGTGCTGTGCATCTGAGTTATATCCTCAGGCCTAAGGGAAGATTTCTATCTGTCTTTAATGTCACAGCCACTTCAGGGAAAACAAAAAAACATTCTTTGAGGAAACATCTATTTATGCAGATAAAAAGTGCTCAGAAATATTTTTTTCTTTATATTAAAGCAGTTAAACTTTTTGGCAGAACCGGGGATTGAACTCAGGCCCTTGAGCTTGCCAGGGAAGCGCGTATTCCACTGAGCCATCTCCCTGGCCCCTAAAGCAGTTAAACTTAAAGCTGATTAAATACCAGACATTGTTAGTAAAGCTACCGCTGAAGAGGACACTGCAGGGTATTATCACTTGGACTGCTTTGTCATGTTTCCAGTGTCACAGGTGACGCCACAAAGTCACTGGCCACCGTTGTCCATTTGTGCTCAGAGCTCTGCAGAGCAACAGGTAAGCTTAGGCAAGCGCAGGCATCAAGGCTCCGCGGACTGGGCTGCGGGTGAGGCCCTCGCACTGGAAGCGCTGTCAGTCGGTGCTTACAGTAGGCAGGAGACCCGGGCCGGGGCTGTACTCCTGGTCTAGACCCCGCGCCTCTTTGGGACGTGACGCGTGCACACTGGCGCCTGTCTCGGAGCTAAGAAGGCTGCCGTGAGCAGGTTAACCCTCGTCATCAAGAGGGCTGCGCAGGTGAGGGCCACTTCCACTCCCCCTGGGGTCTCCACTTCCCAGCGGCTCCCGGCTCTTGCTTGTTAGCTACTCACAGACCACAGTGGGCTTTTTTTTTTTTTTTTTTTTTTTGAGTCAGGGTCTCACTATGTAGCTGGCTGGCCTGAGACTCAGGGCAGCTCTCTCGCCTCAGCCTCCAGGGGCGCCACCAGGCCTGGCCACAGCCCCTTTTGGCACACCTCTTTGCTGTTCCTACTGTCCATCTCCAGCTTGTGAATGAGGTCTCTGACAGTGAACCACTCCCAAGTGTTTGGTCTTGTTTTAATACTTTTCTTGCACTTTCTAGCTAGTATCTGCCAGCCAGGAGTAGAGGATGGAGTTAAGCACCCGCTTTAGGAATTCTCCAATTGTGGAACTTCGATGGAGGCCATCCTCGGGCAGGTCACACCCAAACTTGAGTCACAGCATAAGTGTGGGACAGTGGTAGGCAAGGAAGTCCTCAGGGCACGCGGGAACCCTGGTGGGCGGGCCTTTAAAAGGGGACTCCGCACTTTCCAGCGCCCTTCTGTTTGACATTAATGAATCCCTTTTTGTCTGCTCTTCACTGTGAAGTTAAAAATAAGGATTTTCAGTTTGAGCAAAGAGTAATTTGAAACACGGCGCTTCATGGTGGCTGAGGACCGTAAGCCAGCAGGTCCTGAGGGCCGTGTGTACCCCTGCAGGAACCGCTGCACTCCAGGGAAGCACACGATTGAGCCAGCACTTGCAGCAGCAGCAGCGGCGGCGGCGGTGGCAGCAGGGCTGTGCAGAGGCTGGCCTGGCCGCTCCTCAGTTGGTCAGTCGATGGGGCACCTTGTCTGTTTTACAATTCTTTTTTTTTTTTTTTGGCAGAACCTGGGATCGAACTCAGGCCCTTGTGCTATAAAGATGGTAACTAGGAAGCAGCTAGGCAGCATCCAGCCCAGCGAGGGACTGTCGAGGGCCTGCTTCAGTCTGTGCCTTCAGCCTTGTGGGCCTCATCTCTCACTGAGGGGCGGGCTCAGAGGCCAACTTACCTATCCCAGGGTCATAGAAATATTAGTCATCAGGAAATAACTACTTTTTACTTTGGGACACAAATGTAACAAGGTACAGCAGGATAAGGCAGAGAAATATTTTTCTAGGTATTAATAGAAATTTCAAAGCAAGATTTATCCATTTTGTATTTCTGAATGGAAAAATAAAGGAGATGAATTTTTTTTTCTTGTGTTTTAGTAAGGGTCTAGAGGGTCTAAAGAGCCTCACTATGTAGATCACACTTGTAGTGATCTGCCCATGTTCAGCCTCCCAAGAGCTGGGACTACAGGTGCGTGCTACCATGCCCAGGCCCAGTCGCAATCACGGTCTCAGAGCCTCCAGGGACAGGACCAGCACGGCAGGCCGGGGCTTGAACCCCAGCCGCTGCACCTGCCTAAGCAGGTCCTTCAATCCACTGAATTATTTGGCCCACCCTAGAGATTAATCTTTGGGCGAAAGGCCATTAAAATTTTTCATTATCTCAGGGTCGGGAGATGGCTCACTGGAGTAAGCGCTTCCCTGGCAAGTGCCAGGACCTGAGTTCAATTCCCAGTTCCGCAAAAAAAAAAGAAAAAGAATTCATTATCTTTTCCCTTATGTTTTTGAGTATGAGAGTGACAAGGGTTTTCTTCCACATCTTATTTCAATGGCACTGAAGCACAAATGTTTTTGGAGAGGTTTTTTTTTGCAGAACCGGGGATTGAACTCAGGACCCTGCACTTGCCAGGCAAGCGCTTATTCTACTGAGCTATCTCCCCGGCCCATGGAGAGGGTTTCTAAGGGCCTCCCTGTGCAGTCCAGGCCACCTTGTATTCACTATGGGCACCAAGTAGGCCTGGATTTTGCGGTGATCTTGTTCCACCCCACAAGTGCTGGAACTATAGGCACCCTGAAACTATGTACAAGACTAACTCTTGGCTATAGAAGAACCACTGTTACTTTAAAAAAAATTTTTTTGCTTTTTAAAATAATAACCACCCAGGGGTATCAATAATATTTCAGAATTACCAAGCACCTTCAGTTTTCCGATTCAATGTAAGTTTCCTGGCAGGGCTGCCAGGCTCTTTCCCTTAAACTATTTTAAAGACTGCAGGCTTTTAGCCTCCAAGCATATGCACACACAAGCCAACCAAGGGACACCGCACCTGCCGGTCACTGTGCATTTCTGGGTCAACCTGAGGTGTGTGCTGGGCTTTACGCAGACAGATCTGGGCATTCTTCTCACAGTGAGGAGCTTGTCTTCCTACCAACCATTTATACTTTAAAAGCAAAAGGGAGACAGCGGTCCCTCCTGCGGCTCCTGGGGGCGGCTCACTGTACACCCAAGACCTCAACGACTGCGCTGCCCGGGCTGCTGCGTCCCTCCCTTTCATCACCTCTTACTTTCCTCCCAAGTGAGGCTCTCAACTTCCACCAAACTTGATTCCAAAACCCAGCATTCCTGAGAACACAGTTATCAGGTGCAGCAGAATGTGGCTGGAAATGGCCTTCAGGTGGTGGTGACAGGTTAGAGCCCCACCCTGCCACTGAGGATGAGGTCACGGTCACAAGCACGGCTCTGCCGAAAGACGGCGCGAGCCATTCTTGGAATTCCAGCCTAAGACTTGGCCCGACCTTGTGAGGGACACTTCGCAGCATTCACAGACAGCGGCACATGCCTGGATCTGCTCAGTGAGCTGGGCAGCTGGTGCTCCCGGGTCTCCCTAGAGCCATCTGGGGGCTTTTTCTTTTTTGGTAGTGGTGGTGATTTATTTAGAGACAACATCTTGCTGTAAGTTCAGGCTAGGCTTGAACTCATTATGCAGCCCAAGCTAGCCTCTAACTTGGGCAGTTCTCCTGCCTCAGTGCTAGATTATAGATACGCACCAGCACACTGGCTAGGGGCTTCTTAGGGTGGAGATGCTAAGCGGATTCTGGTCAGGCAGTGAGCTGGGGGAAGAAGGTTCTAGACACAGGACAGAAAACTTAAAGGTGCCCAAGAGAGCAGAAAGTGGATACCCATAAAGGACTCCTCATGGTTGGCTATGGCTCAGGACACAGGTGTGAGCAAGCTCCAGAGAGGGTGTGGTCTGACAAAGCGTGTGCAAGCTGCTCAGGTGCTGGGCTGTGTGGGAAGCAGGGGGGCAGCCAGAACGCGGACACCTGCCTTAGTGCATGGCTCAGCACTACAGCGGGGTGGGAGAGCTCCCAGGAATAAGAAAACTACTGACGGGGGCAGGACCGGTGGGAAGAAGGTGGAAGTGAGGGTGATTTCTGGGGTGCAGACAAGAACGGCTGGGCGAATGAAGGGACCGTGAAGTTGAGCCTCGCCAGGGCTGGATACCCTGCACGTGCCGCCCTGGTAGGGCACTGCTTCCCCTTCACTGCATCTCTCCTAGACAGAAGTATTAGCACTTGAGAGGCCCTCCTAGCTCCCTGGCATTGCAAGGAGTCTACTGTGCATTTTCACAGGGATAAGAGGTCAAAGGCAAATACATCTGTACTTCATGTATCCTAGTGAGCACCAGCATTGGGGAACTCAATCCCCAATGAATATTGAAGTATGCCACAGTTCACTGGTTTTCAGGTGTCAGAGACAACTTCCAGAGCAAATGCCAAATAGGCCAGAGATACTTCAGTCCAACTGCTATGCCGTGCCACTCACCCTGACCCCACACTCCCTTCCACAGCTCCGTGAGGGCTGTGAGCTGAGAGACACTCCAGAGCGGAGCGCCAGCTCCCTCCGCGTGGATGCCTGGCCAGCTCTGGGTCATTCGGCTCTGGGCTGGGAAGATGCAACACGCAGCAGCGAGGTACGAGGTACGAGGTACGAGGTACGAGGTACGAGGTACGGAAGCATTCTGAGGGTGCCATTACGGTTCATTGTATCCACAGCAGACTATGCGGCTAGATTTGCTTGGAGTGGAGTGAATTATCATCAGCGTTCCAAGCTACTACTTTTTAGCAGTTCCCAAACACTATTTTATAAAACTTGTATCAAGTGGTTTCTAGCTTCACAACAACCATTAACATACACCTTTCTGCCATGTCCATTTCTCAATCTGGCTTAATTTAGGTCATGGTAGAATACATTTCCTATACACTGAAAGCTTACGTGAAATGCTGGTGGATCATAAAGCTCTCCCCAGTGCGCCTTTGAAAAAGAAGAAGCATAAAAAAAAATCTGCCATAAAATTCTGGCTCCTTGAACACCCGCACTCACCACGGACCTACTGAAACTGCTCTTGAAATGCGTGCAAGCTGCTGCCAGCGGCACAGAGGAGTTTTACAAGGAGGTGAAGACGGCTTGGTGAGCAGAAAATCTCGTAAAGGGAAAGAGAGCCTGAAGCATTTTTATTATAACTGACATTCAGGATCTTGACAGGAATAGAATTCGAAAAATTACTTACTCAAGTAGATCCGGGTCTAGTCCTTCTGATATCATTTTGTTTCTTATTGCCATAACCGGAACACCCTAAGGGAGAGAGAAATTCCGCCATGAGCACGTCCCCTTCACTGCCCCCACACACCTCCTGCCAAGGCCCTTTAGATGCTTCTTATCGAAATCGTTACTTTGCTTTATATTAACATGTGCGAAGTCCCTGAAAGATCCAAGGTTCCCACTGTGCAGTGACTTGGTGGAATTATTGTTATCTTGTGCCACACAGGTCCAAATTAAATTTTTTACACTTTCTTATTACTAATTCTGCTGTACAGAAAGCAGAGACCTACCCTCTCTCTTACACCACTGGAGAGAGAAAATGCTGGTAACAAGCAACTGACTTCATTGAGCTCTACATAAACGAACGTCTCTTCAAACTGAAGATTTCAGGGCTAATTTTAACCTAACGCGCAGCCACGTCAATGTTCTTTTAATCAGCACGACTGCACATGCAGACCGGGCAGGACTCCGGGGCCCTCTGCGGCTGCACGGCACACCCGCCCAACGCTGACGCCAGTGCGAAGCAGTGACCACTGGAGAAGTGTGCAAGTTGGCAAAAACGGCCAGAGCTGTGAATTTTAGCTTGACGCTAAGAATATGAGAACATTACAGATTCACAGAAATACCCATCTACTAGAAAAGTACACACATTTAATGGACAAATGATAAGCGCAAAGCTCAAGGGGGAGATGTCACCACGTCCCTGTCAAGGCCCCTCCTGCGCCCTCTCGGAGGAGGGGGAGATCGTCGGCTGCCAGCTTAGGTTTGAGGCTCCTGAAGACGGTGATGCCGCTGAGTCTCTGGGCCCAGGAAGGCACCCACAGTGGCTGCCTGGCCTCGGGGGCCCTCTGCGGTAGCAGCGGTGATGTCCTGTGGGCAGAGGTGGAACCCTGCTGCCACAAGCCCGTGCCTCAGTGCCCAGCGTCAAGGGACAGCAGAGGCCTGTGTGGGGCATCACACTGCCGTGGTCACCACGCGGGCACCTTTGGGCTCAGTCTTCAAAATGGGCAGGGGGCTTGCTTAAAGGGGAAAGCACAGACTCAGAAATGTACCTGGGTCTGTGATCACACATAGAATATGCTTGTCTCATTTTTCAAAGAATAAGTACATATCTGTCTGGCTAGTCCTCCCCCAAAATGCAGTTTATTGTACATTTCCTAATAAAATCGGAGTTCAAGTCCAGTCAAGCACAACAAACACAAAAGCCAAACTCGGTATGAAAGTCTTCAAGGGTAAGGACCACATATTTCTTACAGAAATACTGTAGATCTTGCCAAATTAAGATAGGTCATCATTAGCCACAACTTCTTTTTCTGATCAGTGACAGGTTCCTGCTGCTTACAAACTGCTAAATTATCACGGCCCCGATTCCCCAGAATAACAGCTTATCATCCCAATGACCAATTCCTCCTCTTTCCCTGCCCCAGGCTGGATACCTTTCCCACGCACTCCAGCGAGCCTCCGGTCAGCTACTTGTGTCCCTGACCCTCCCTTCCAAACTCTGCCCCTAGCGCAAGTCCATCAAGTCGCATCCTCCCTGTCTCAGCTCAGAGGATCCCCCACCCCCAACCCCTACCATGGATCCTCTTTGGGTCCTCCTTAATGGCAATAAAGGCCTTTCCCTCCCTTTCTTTTACTTCTGCTTCCCTGTTGCTGCTGAAAATTCCAACAATCTGAAAAATTTTATTTCAAGTTATCTCATCCTTACTTTTTTTCTTTTTGGGGGGTGGGTAATGGGAATTGAACTAAGGACCTTACGCTTCCCAGGCAGGAACTTGTGCCACTGAGCTATATCCACAGTCCCTTATTTACTTTAAAAAAAAAAAAATGTTCAAGGAAGATAGTTCTAGTAGGCATGAGGCTGGCTCGCTTCTGCTGGCAGTGAGGTGGAAGCAAAGGGTGAAGGTGGGCACCCTGGTACATGGCATCGTCCTGAGTGGTGCTTCATGCTGACTCAGCCAAACAGACCCCCCAGCACATTCTAAATACGGGTGTGCCAGAACCAGGAGGGGCAGACAGAGCGCTCTCTGGGGCCACCCCCTGGCAGTGCCCTGGGGTTCCACAGGTGGCCGCTAACTTGTCCTGAAAAGGGAATTAAGATGGGCTCCAGGACAGAGGCAGGAAGCTAAGACTCTCGTCCTTTGGCAATGCACGAAGCTAAGAAAAGGGAAAGATTCAAAGGACCTGCCTGCTCAGCAGCACCTAATGGGAAGTGACTCACATGTGGGAGAGAGCACGAGATTAAAAGTGGAGCTGTTTTCTAATTATAATGTCCAGAATGAAGATGGAAAAAAACTGACCTAATAACAGAATTTTAATAGTGGGGGAATACGCAGACTACTACAAGGAACTTCACCCCATTCAGTTATTTCAGATAACAGAAATCTAGTTTACAACATTTCATTTAGAAAACACTGAAGTGCTAGGGATAAAAGGGGCAAAGTGAAGTTCATGCCATAGTTCCTTTGAAGACTTCTAGGTTCTAGTAACTATGGTTTGATAGGAGTATCAGGTCTTTCTAGCAACTCAACTGTGTGATTTATGATACATGAGCATACCCATAGGACCTCACTGGAGAGCCTGTGTAAGTACAAAGTAGAGAAAACAAGAGGAGAAATGAAGCTTTAAAAGCAGTTTCCTAACCTTGAGCAAATGAACTGTGTATGGGGAGGGAGGCTGGTGGAAGCAGAGGAGCTCCTCATTTTAAGGTCAGCTTCATGGACTTGGTTACAGTAAAAACAGCCAGAGACCTGGAACGGCTCTCACAGCAGGGCTCACGCACTCTGTGATACTTGCTTTCTCAAATCTGGGTTACTTAGAATTTTCCAAACTTTATACTTTTACTTTCTAGGAATTCAAAGAACTTTCATAGCAATCATTTTGGAACTTGCTACTCCAACTTAGCAGGAAGTTTAGATGGTCTGCTCAGTTTTTGAAAATTACCGTATTTATTCTAGAGGATTTAAAGAAGTATCTTCAAACACAGCAATGAAAGTGACACAGAATAGCTGGGCGTGGTGGTGCACGCCTGTGAACCCAGCTCTCAGGAGGCCGAGGCAGGACAGGCACCAAGAACATGAGCCCTGGCTGGGCTGCACAGTGAGCTCAAGGCCACCAGCCAGCCCTGCATAGCACGATGCTGCCTCAAGAAAAAAAAGCAAAAAAGAATGCAATTCTCAGTAGTGACTGATTACAGAGATGATTCTACTGACTTAAATCACAGACTGGCGCTCGTGTCCGCAGCATACCCTAAGACTAATGTGGCCGCTGCGCAAGGACGACAGGAAAAGACTCCCTGCAGAACAGTCCCTTCTCAGCTAACTTCCAATAGCTGTCATGTGTCTAAACAGGTACATTATGATTCTCTTATTAAATAAGTTCCTGAAGAAATCTTCTTTTTCTTGAAGAAATACATGTGATAAATGCACTTTTTACACTTAAGACTGACTGGATAAAATTAGTGGTCGGGGCTCAGCGCTCCCAGGGTGGGGCCAGTGCAGCAGCCTACTTTTATCATTAGCTTTTTTCTTAAGATTATTTTGCATTTTCAGCCGGGCATGGTGGTGTATGCCTATGATCCCAACACTCAGGAGACTGAGGCAGGAGGATCATTGTGAGTTTGAGGCCAGCCTGGGCTACAAAAGTGAGCTCAAGGCCAACACCAGGCTGAGTTGAATAGTGAAGACCCTGTCTCAAAAAGAAAAAAATTGGGGAATCTGGGTTGAAATCATGTAGGGATCCTTTTTTAAAAAAAAAAAAAAAAAAAAAAAAAAAAAAAAAAAAGGATTATTTTGCATTTCCAATTATCATGTTTCACTTACTCCCTCTTCAAAATTACTTTTAATTAAAATCACTGTCTGACCATCTGATAGAGTATAAAAGGACAAGCGCGCCAGTGTCCAGGGGCCAAACGTCCATCCGCAGCTCTGATGGAGGCTGGCACAGCACACATGCCCTGGCTGGTTGGCATGGGAGCCAGAGCCCCAAGCCCCCCAAGGGTCACAACTGCAAATATACTTTCCAGAGACCTGAAGCACCCTAAATAAAAATAGCTGCGGTGAGCGAGCAGGCCTGGAGACGGGCCGGCACAGATGAACTTCCACGCAAGCGCAGGCACCTGAGGCTTGCCACGGAAGACATGCGACCTCGGCATCCAAACATTCTCAACAGCTGTGGTAAGTGGCTTCAGTGAAGAAATGGAGAATAAAGGTAGGCACGTACAGTATTACTACGTAGATCCTGACAACCATGTAACTTCGCAGTACTCGCCCAACTTCCACCTTTAGCACACATTAGGAAAAGCAAGAAATTTATAATCTGACCTCAGCAAGTCGTTGCTTACTGCTAACAAACAGGTACAGTATAGGAGTTTTCTTATTTTGGCCTGGTATGGTGGCATACACCTGTAGTCCTAGCACTCACAAGGCTGAGGCAGGAGGATCACCAGGAACTTGAGACCTGCGAGGGCCACCTCGTGAGGTTAAGAGCAGCCTCAACTATGTAGGCCACGCAGTACAGCTTGCCCTTGGACTCATACATAGCCCAGTCGACTTCCAGCTTGGGGCGATCCTCTTGCCTTAGCCTCCTGAGGGAAAAATAATGAACAAATGTCTAAAAGGGCAAATATGCAACTGAAACATAGTTGTTGTTCTTTTTTTTTTTTTTTTTGCAGAACCAGGGATTGAACTCAGGTCCTTGTGCTTGCCAGGGAAGCACTTATTCTACTCAGCCATCTCCCGGCCCTCATAGTACTTAACACCAACTCGATGCACGTCAGAATTCCTGAGCTATGATGTTCTGGATAATACACAGTCAGTTCAAAGGGCAGCCAGGGTTGAAAACACTGCTGTCTCAAAAACTAGCCTGACAAGTCTGCACATGGTGTTTCCCCATGGCAAAGCGTGAGCTCCATTTGGTCCACCTCACAGGGAGCGGCACCACTGCCGCCCTGCTGGGCTGTCCCCTCCCCGCCGCCTGGGGACGGCACACTGCGCGCCATTCCTGGAGGTACTGCAGCACCAGGTCTATGCGCG